TTTAAAAATCCCTTTTAACAGCCCAACTACTCTGCTACGTTTCTAAGAACTCAACTTTCAACTCCTGCTAGTTTTTCTTGGCAGCTGTAGAAGTGGCATCTGTCTGCTCACCTTGGATTGACAGCATTCAGTCATTATATATTACTCTAAAATAAGACATGTTATAATAAAACATTTAAGGCAACTATTTAATAAAACAACTTGCTCCATTAGTTTAACCAAAAAAGAAATAAACTGAGTAAAATATAATACATAACTACATTAATAAGATTTGTAAGAATTTTTTAAGCAATTATGATAAATACAAATCGATTAAACCAATTAAAAATGCAATGATTTATTTAGGGCTTACTTAAAAATGTTAAATGCTAAATTTGCTAAATGCTAAAGGATTATTTGTTTGGTTAAATGAGGCTTATTTATCCTTTAAAGCTCTGAAGGCTGATGGGTCAGTTCCATTTATGCACAGGATTAGGAACATTGTCACCAGTATAACCCATGTAAAATATAACCCATTTACAATTTATTCAAACACAATATTCAGTAAATGTATTATATCATGCTGATATAAACTATCATTCACTACTTTTTCATTTGGTGACACATTCTGCCTAAAAATTTTGGATCAGAACAAAGGAAAGACTTTGATTAAGTTAAATGTTTTTCTTATTTGGTTGATTTGAGGTTGATTTATGAAAAAAATCAAGGATTGCCATTAGATGCTCGGTTTTAAAAAACCTACTTTAAAGCAGCTTTAGCTGGTTTACTAAAAGCTCTGCTATTAAAGTTAACATCTGAGTTTCTTCATGATCAGATGCAGTTGGTTGGTTGTGAGGGAAAAATGTTTACATTTCAAATCCAATTCAAAAACATTATTTCTGAAATGTTTTACCAACCAGTTATAGAGAACAAAATGATCATGGGCGCTTCTAGAAGGGGGGCCAGCAGGGGGCCAGCGCCCCTGTAGAACCAGTCCTATTTTTAGCCCAAGGCCCCGTCCACACGAAGTCAAAACAAACACGAAACGCTAATATTTTCCCGGAAAGTTTGTCATAAAAATAAATGTGATCGTCCACACGAATGCATGAAAACGAATGCATGAAAATTTATTAAATAAGTGGTCCTCCTAATTGTCAGTCATTCTGGTGATATGTTTACGTCAGGCCATCCTACATGGTAGCCCCGTTAGCCATCTTTTTCTGTGCATGCGCACTTTAAGGCGTATATCTGTGCTAAACTACGGTTTCAGACAGTCATTGAAGCTCACCTTTCTCACCGCGGTTGTTGAAAAAGTGTCGACGAAGTGTATGGCAAAGAAAAGAAAGGCCTCAGAAGAGGGAGATATATCACAGAATACTTTGCACGAAGAGCTCTCCTCACAAAGCATTATGGGATTTGCTGTCACAGTCACAACTGTCACAACTACCCGACAATGGCAACTAAGGCCCCGTCCACACGAAGTCAAAACGAACACGAAACGCTAATATTTTCCAGAACGTTTGTCGTAAAGACGGAGA